TCCTACCCTCCTCGTCTCTTCTCTCTCCTGCTCTCTCCCTTTCTCTCACTCCGCTTCCTTCCTCTTTGGTCCTCTACGTCCTTTCTCTCTTCTTCCTATGCATATTATTAATTGTTCAGTCATCCATCCTTATTTCTAACACACGTGTAAGCGAGAAGCCGAGCTGCCTTCCCTGCATACACGTGCTCCTAACCTCTATCATTCCGCCTACGCCAGCAACCTTCTATCGCCCCCCTTTCTTCCTCTCTCTTTCTCTCTCTCTCTCTTTCCTCTCCTACCTTCTTTCCTCCACTTTCTCCTCTTCTCTGAGCCTCTTCTCTCGCTTTTCCTCTCACGTCTTACTTTTCTTTCCTCTCCTCCGCTTCCTCTATCGCTTTCGCCTGTGTACCTTGGCTGCCTTCTACTTTCACTTTCTCTTTCATCGGTGCCTTTCCTCCCCTCCATACCAGCCTCGCACTTTCCCCTCTTTCTATACCTCCTCCTACCGAATCGATCTCTCGATCTCTCCGGCTAATCTCTCTTTACTCTCTACTATCGATCGCTCGACTCCTTGTACTCGTCGATCTCTCGCACCTCCCGTCCAATCCTCTCACTCCTCCTGTCGTTTCTCTCTCACCTACTCTTCCTTCCTTCTGTCCTCTTTCTCCTCTCGTCTCCTCTTTCACCTCTCCTTCTCCCTTTCGTCTCTGTCACTTTTTCCGCCTCTGCCTTTTCCTCCGTCTTCTCTTCCTATGTCTTGTCACTTCCACCGCCTATCCTCTCTCCTACTCTTTCTGTACTCCCTGGCTCCTTCTCCTACCACTTCTTTTCCTCGTTGATTATTTCCCGATTACTCGATCTCTTCGCCCCGCCCTGTCTCTTCTTTCTCTCTTCCTCCTCTCCTTCTACATATCACCTCTCTTGTTGCTCCCTTCTTCTCTATCCTTCGATTTCTCGTGTCACCTGCACTGTCTGTCACCTCTCTTACTCCTTCTGCACTCCTGAGCACCTTCCTTTTCCACTTTCTCTTTCTCGCGGCCACTTCTCGATTACTCGATTACTCGATCCCGTCACTCATCTCAGCTCTCCTACACTCACCGCTCCGTGTTCTGACTTCTGACTGTGCTTCTGCTACATTCTTTCCTTCCTCTCTCCTTCTGCCGTCACCTCTCCCATCTGTTCGCCTTCTATCCTCCACTCTTTCCTCCTTCTTTGCGCTATCGACTTTTCGATCACATCTATCCCCCCGTCTGCTCCCTTTCCGCTTGTACCTCTTCGACCTCACGCGCTTTTTCTCCAATCCTTTCCACTCTCTCCTATCGATCTCTCGCTCCGGCCGCTCCACCTCCTCCCCACTCCTTGTCCTTCTTCTTCGCTCCGATCTGCCAACTCATCCTCTTCTTAACTTTACCTCCTTCTAACTTCCTTCTTCTTTTCTCCTTCTCGTCTCTTCCAATTCCTGTACTGCGCCTCCTTATCCTCCATCCATCTCTATATTTTCTTCCTCTCCAGCTCACTTCCTTCCACTTTTCCTTCGTCTTTTCTCTCAGACCTCTCACTGTCACCACCTCTCACTCCGCCATCTTTCTCCTTCCCCAACATACCGTTTTGTGATTTATATAATTAATCTAAAGTTATTAAATAATTATTGATTATAAAATATATTTATGTAATTACAATGTAATTATTGAAAACTTTGGCATATATGTTGCAAAATATGTTATTATTAAGAACAAAATAAAAAAAATTCATTTATAAAAATTTGCTTTAGTAAAATAAAATTTTTAATTATATTTTATTATTTGTGTTTTATTATAAAGAAAGTTTTTTATTATATTTTTTTTTAATATAAATATATATATTGGTCAATACTAATGTATTATATGTATAGACATACACGCATATTTCACAAAGTAATAAAATTAGAACATGTAACAAGAGTTATCTGCTTAGAATAATGTAGTATATACATATGTATATTTATTAAAATTGAATTTAGAAAATTAATATAGATGGAGTGTTCAAAGAGCTCCTCCAGCTGTTTAACTCTAAAAGCATCAGTCTATTTTTGTTGTTCATTATACAGGGTGATTCAGAACAACTACTTGTCCTTAAAATGTCGTATTCTAAACTTAATTCTGAAATGATTTTTCCTCTTGCAAAATTTTCTCCGAAGCTTAGTTTTTGAATTATAAAGAGGAAAAGATATCGAATGACGGGCCAGATACTAGAGGCAGGCAGGAGCGGCGCGGCTCACCGTCGTCGCGGGCGCTTACGGCAAGAGCGCCCGCGACGACGCTGCCATCAGCTGATCGCGACGCGCTAGTACACACACACACATTCTCTCTCTTTCTCACTCGCGCTCTTACCTTGCAGAGATGATGTAGAGATGATTCGATGACTTCGTGTTGCTCTAGTTTCTTGAAAAAGACGATGAGAAAGATGCATTTTCCGATGGATCGTAGCTTAGAGCAAGTTCATTGTAACTTTCACTAAATTTAACATACATTTTCACTAATACAGATCAACTCATACATTTTCACTAATAGAGATCCACACTGAATAATTAATCGGAAGTATTTTTTATGTTACTATTTTATTTACTTCACAAAAGAGACGCACGCAACACACAACACATAACTTATTAAGGTTGCAGTCGACTTGACGCTACAAATGTTTCGAAGCGTTTTTCTTTTCCTTCCTTTTAATAAGAAAAAAGGAGAAGAACGCTTTTGAAGTATTTGTAGCGTAAAGTTGACCGCAGCCTAACACACAACTCGTATTTACTCGACGATAGCAAACAGTTGACTAATTTTTTGTTATGCACTCCCGCACTCAATCCTCCGCACTCGCGCACTCCCGTGCTCCTGCTCGCACAAAAGAACCAGTCCTCTTGTAGTAGGAAGAAACGTATTTATTCGTAAAGAATACAGCGAAAGTCCAGGAACGTCCGCACGAAA